TTCCGAGTATAACTTGATTGAGAAATTCAGGGATCTCCACATTCCTGTGAATACAGAAGATAGTCCACATTTATTGACTACTACGGTAGTCCTGAATTCATTAGTTGAGCGGATTAAAGAGGCTCAATTGCTTGATGAAGAGATTCAGTCTATGAAAGAGCAGGACTTTGTGTCCACTGATAGGTTCGGTCTTAAGTTTTACAAGGATCGGATCATTGTTGGAATGGAAATGGGTCAGTATTTCTATGGATTTTGTAGTAGCATTACCGAGAACTCAGGCTGGTTTTGATTCCATCTGGGTAGTTATTGACAGATTGACAAAGTCTGCACATTTCATACCAGTTAAAACGAGTTTCTCCACAGAGCAGTTGGCTCGGATATATGTAAGAGAGATTGTGAAACTTCATGGTGTTCCTGAAAGTATCATTAGTGATCGGGACCCTAAATTTACTTCTAGACTCTGGGATGCAGTGCAACAGGCCTTCGGTACACAGTTGAGGCTGAGCACGGCTTATCATCCCCAGACTGATGGTCAGACTGAGAGGACTATTCAGACCCTGGAGGACATGTTGAGGGCTTGTGCCTTAGAGCAGGGAAATGCATGGGATAAATATCTTCCTCTAGTGGAATTTTCCTACAATAATAGTTATCATGCCAGTTTGGGCATGGCTCCGTATGAAGCTTTGTATGGCCGTAGGTGCAGGGCGCCTACTTGTTGGTCAGAAATTGGAGAGAGGCAGTTATTTGGGCCTGATATGGTCCAAGAGACTACCGATCAAATTATGATGATTAAGGATCGATTGAAGAAAGCACAGAGTCGCCAAAAGAGTTATTATGATGCAAAGCATAGACCCCTGGAATTTTCAGAAGGGGATCATGTATTTATCCGTTTGTCTCCGACTACGGGTGTTGGGCGTGCTCTAGGAGTGAGGAAGTTGAGTCCTAGGTTCATTGGGCCCTACCAGATTATGAAAAGGGTCGGACCTGTGGCTTATCAGCTTGCCTTACCTCCACATCTGTCAAATTTGCATAGTGTTTTTCACATCAGTCAACTTCGAAAATACGTGCCGGATGAATCCCACATTGTACAGCCGGACAATATCGAAGTAAGAAAAGACTTGAAGTTTGTTGTGGGACCGTTTAAGGTTCTAGCACGTGATGAAAAAGTGTTGAGAAACAGGACTATTCCCATGATCAAGGTACAATGGGAAGGATTGACTCCTGAGGACGCCACTTGGGAGCGGGAGAATGAAATTCTCCAGCGATATCCTGAGTTTGATGTCAGGTATATGTATATTTGATATTTGATTTTGTGGGCAAAATCCTTAAAAGGTGGGGTGAATATAATGACCCTAACTGGTAAATCTTAGTTAGAGATTTAATTTAAGGATTTAAATGCCATAATTAGATTCAGTGAGCGATTTCGAGTATTTTGACTGTAATCATGACTATGTTATGAACAGTGCGTTCTGCCGGAGAATTTACAGTTTTGTGAATTAACCGGTAGAGCTTAAAATGAGCAAAATAATTTTAGGAACATAATTTGAAAATTCTGATGACAAATATGAGTTCAGAACGAAAAATTGTATAGTCTGGCACTTTCCGTGAAAATCTCGTGAATAGTGTTTCTACCGGGTATTTTGTACTGCTGTTTAAGCAACCGGTAGAGTCCAGAAATAAATAATTGATGAAATAAGAATAAGAAAGTCCAATATATGCCAAGCAAGTCAATATAGGCCCAAGAAAATGATAAGTTTATAAGTGTTAAGTTTCAGAATTAAATAAAGTACAGTTAGTGGTTCACAGTGCATTTCGTTAAAAACGGTGCAAAAACCATACTGTGAATTATGAATATTGTTCCTTAGGAAATAAAAATTAATTTAAATAACTTTAGAAAAATAAAAATATATCCGTAGCTTTAAGTTAAGTTTCCGGTAAATTTAAGTGAAATACGCGATAGAAAAACATCCGACAAAAGGGCCACATGTGCCTAAATAGCTTGGCCACTTAAATGAATCACTATTCATTGCAAAAATTTCTTCTTCTCTCTCTTGAAGGGCCGAGCTTCAGCCATGGAAAAGGGGGGGTTAGGGTTTTGCTTGTTTTGTTGATTTCTTCTTGAATTCTCAACCAAATCTTATGACCCACCACTTGAAATTGATTAGGAACCACTCAAGGAATCCATTGCACCTATCCATTTGAGCTATAGTTGAGTGTGTGAAGAGTTATTCCTCCTCTTATTTTCGGATTACTATTCATAGGAGGAGAAAAAGTGGGTTTTTGATGGAGCTTTGCTTGGAGGTTATTCTCTAGGCTTTGTACAAGTGATTAGAGGTAAGAAACCTCTATTTCTATGGTATTATTTTGTGATCTATGTTTTGAAAATTTGGAGCATGTTTTGAGTGGGAAATATTTGATGTTAGAAGGTGAAAATTATGATGGATTGTTGTTGTATAGGAATGATAGTGTTTAGTAAGCATTAATTTGTGATAAAAAAATTGAAAAGCCCTAGTGCACTTTTCCCCTAGGTTTCGGCCTTCATGGCTTATATAGGGTTCATCATGCAAATTTTTATTGTATGTTTGAAAAGGTAAAATATGTTGGAATGTAGTGTAAATGGATTAATTGGTGGAAATGCCAAAGTTAGAAAAAAATCCTACAAATACTTGCTCTATGTTGCGAACTATAGGATGTTTAGGGGTATATATATATTGGTTACATTTTATTCTAATAAAATGGGTTGCATTTTAATATACCAATGGATGAGCTAAGAAGTGAAATGCTTTGACAAATGGTTGAAAAATACCTTGAGTCCCTAAGGGTACGCCCGCGACTTTTAAAGAAAAATAACATGATTTATGTGAAAAATTCTTAAGTAAATGCTTGATTAAATTAAAGAACGCCAACGGGTGTATAGAGGTCTAGACTTGTGTATTGGCATAGAATTGGCAAAAATATAAAGAAAGGAAAATAAGCGATAAAATGTATGCTTATGAAATAATCATGGTATTGCATCATTTTATTGATGCATTGTAAATTATTCTCTAGGTGTGCCTAGGGATTGAGAAGGATCGGAAATCTCTTGAAGCGATAAAAGTAACTTGTTCCACAAGTAAGCGTATTGGTAAAGCTTCAAGAGGTAAGCTCTATGTTTAAGGAGTCTTTTCCTGCTTGAGTGCTCCACCATGGTTAGTGAACTATGGTTGGACTGTATGACTGTGATTTAGATGCTTTGTATAGATGCATTCATATAGAGTTATTTGATAACATGATATGTTTTGCTCTGATATGACTTCTGTAATATGATTTCTGTAACAATCTCTGGCCATTGATTGTATAGTACCCGGACGTCCGCTTTGGGGTCCTCCCTCGGGACTGATGGTGTACTCCTCTGATATGTCTGGTTCCGCTTTGGGGTCCTCCCTCGGGAACACGTGCGTTGATTTCCGCTTGGGGTCCTCCCTTGGGAATGACGGCGCACATCTCTGATATGATATGGATATATGCTCTGTTCTGTTATGATATCTGTTATATGTTGTATTTGTATACTCTGTATCTGAATTTCATGCAGGAGTGAGCCAGGGGTATGGAGAATTCTCTATAAACCTGGAGCTTATTGAGATTTGTAATCTCACCCCTCTTTGGGGACACATTTTCAGGGGCCCAGATTTCCGGTGAGTCCTCACTAGGCAGGGACACGACACGTGGCTGAGGCAGTTGACAGACCGGATTTTGAGTGGCTGTAGGCTACTACCTTTTTGGAGTGTTTGATGTATTTTAGTATTTTCGCATTTGATGGATCATGATATTGATCCTTTATTTTGTATATGGCCTGTATATGTTTTGTACATGTCTATCAGTTTGATGCATGTACATTTGAGTATTCAGGAACGTTATATGATGATGTAGTATTCAGATAGGTTTATGTTTTGATGGCATGCTGTTAGATTTAGTGGCACGGAGCCATGTTATGCATGCGCCCATGTATGGGTATTTGATTATATTTGGATATCTGGCATTTCTGAATTGATATGTTGTATAAACTGTTTATCAGGAAATGCTTCTGAGTGGGATTGGAAAATCCCCAGTTGTCCGATTTATAGAGGAAACTCTGCCCGATTTTCGTTTACGCCGAGTAAGAATTAAGTTAGAAAAAGAAAAAGTTAGCTCATATTTTTGTAAGTTAAGTCTTCCGCTGTTTCTGTTTGTATCATATGTATGTTAATTGAACCGGCTCGAGACGGGGATGTTACAAGAAGTGTCTTCTTCCTTCCCTTAGACGGTTAAACCCTGTATGTAGTATTTGAGAAAGGTAGGCTTTAGTAAATTTAAGTACTTCTATTTTAGTAAACTTTTATTTGATTTAATTTTTAATGCCTGTAACTTTGTTCCATTTTTAAGAGAAAAAGCAATATTGTGGGACTGATAGAAATGCCATGATTTTCAATGCATAGCATTTAGTATTCATTGTTTCTGCGTAATATTCATTCAAATATCTAAGTTATCTGGATTCTGTAAGTTATTTATGGGAGCTGGTTTCAGTATGCTCTACTGAATGAAGAGTGAGACTTTTAAACTTGCCCTGTTTGATATAAGTAGGCATTAAAACACTGACATTTTCTCCCTTTTCTTGATAGATGCTTAACTTGTCAAAATGTCAGAACATCAGTCATATTGGCTTAACTTCTCTAACAAATGGTGCTCAGAACTTAGAAAAGCTTATCCTATCAGATAGCCTAGCTGTAAGTTTTGAATCATTCTAATCCTTTCTATGGTAACCATTTTATAGACTATGCCTTGTCGTGGAGCTTATTCATTTTATTGTATTCAGGTCACTGCTGATCTTGCAAAATGTCTGCATAGTTTTTCTAGGCTGCAATTGGTTAAACTAGATGGTTGTGTGGGTACAAGTTCAGGGTTAAAAGCCATTGGAAATTCATGTGCCTCACTCAAAGATCTGAACTTAAGTAAATGTCTTGCGGTCACTGATGAGAGTCTCTCCTTCCTTGTGCAAACACACAAAGTGCTAGAGAAGTTAAACATAACATGCTGTCATAAGCTAACACATGCATCCATGTACAGCTTAACAAATTCATGTTCCAGGCTCACTTCCCTTAGAATGGAGTCTTGCAGTTTGGTCAGCAGAGATGCTTTTTTGTTTATTGGATGCTGTCAATTTTTGGAAGAATTAGATGTCACTGATAATGAAATTGATGATGAAGGTAGCATTTTCAACCTTGCATATACTTTATAAAAAGTTTCCTTAAAGCGCATGATTTATGCTTCTTGATTTCTTGATTTGTGTAGGGCTTGGATCAATCTCAAGATGTACCAAACTTTCTAGTCTAAAGTTGGGCATATGTTTGAAGATAACTGATAATGGACTTAAGCATATTGCAAGCAGTTGTTCAGAGCTCAAACACCTTGATCTCTACAGGTTTCTTATATCTCAACTTTGTAACATTTAAGCCCAATATAAATGTTGATGGGTGAAAATATCTCTCTGTCTTAACTCTTTACACTCTTACTTTACCTCATCATGAGTGAAAGGGATACATATACCTCAACTTCCCCTCCTCCCTTACCATCACCCCGGAAAAATAATAATAATAATAGTGATTTGACCCTAACATCAATATTTGGCAGGAACTAAACGAATTTCATGAAACTTATTTATGAATAAATTGAAACTGCAAAGCATGTATGTTGTTTGCTCTTACCTCATTCTTTTGAATTTTTTTTGTTTTTTTCAAATTAAAGTTTGCTCTATTTAATTTCATAGGAGCTCAAGAATAAGTGCTGAGGGCATTGCTGAAATTGCTCTTGGCTGTCCTTCACTTGAGGTTATTAATATTGCTTATAACAGTAATGTAACAGATACTTCATTAGTGTCTCTCTCAAAATGCCTGAAGCTAAGAACACTAGAAATTCGAGGATGCCCACACATTTCATCAGCAGGTCTTTCAAATATTGCTGTCAAGTGTAGGCATCTTGAGACTCTGGATATCAAGAAGTGTTATAAAATTAATGACACCGGAATGATTCAGTTGGCTCAATATTCTCAGAACCTTAAACAGGCAGGTTCCTATCCCTTAATTAGTTGTTCAAAATATTTGGAGTTTGTTTTGTATGCCAGTATTTATTTACATAACATTAGTGCCTGAGATACTTGGGTCTCATATACCCCAGTGTGTGTGTAAGAACTAACTTGCATTGATTTATTTGCATTGCAGGTGAAGTTGTCATGTTGCTCAGTAACAGATATGGGACTCATTGGTCTTGCCAGCATAAGCTGCTTACAGCACATATCCATCTTTGACTTGGAGTATTTAACTTCAAATGGCCTAGCATCTGTCCTTTTGGCTTGTCAAAGTTTGACCAAAGTGAAGCTAAACACATCCTTTAAGTCATTACTACCTCAACATATTCTTCAATACATTGAAGATCGAGGTTGTGTGCTTGTTTGGAAGGAAAAAAGCGTTTGAAACTTTTAGGTATTTCCTGTGTTTTCTTTTGGACATTAATTCATCTCTTTAGTTGCAGCTATTCATATGCAGGAATCATCTGTTACAAAACATGAATCCTTGAATTTGGCATTCAATTTAAAACCACTAAATCCATTATGATGCTCTTATAAATTGAATTTCAAATATCTCAGTAGTTGGGATGGTCTAACTGCAGTGAGAGTTAGAAAAGCAGTTCTTTATTTCAAGGATGCTGCTCTTAATGAAGTGGCTATTGGAATATAAAATTCCTTTCGAACTACCCAGGAAAAAAGTAGTAGCTTCATCACCATGCACTTTGTCACACATGATTCAAAATTTCCCCCCATAATCACATCAAAATTTGTCAAAAGACATACTTCAGTTTCATTCACGGCCTATTGTTCAACATAAAACTCTCTTACCGAAGTTATTTCTACTTGGTGGTTTTGCCTTTATCTCTTTTAAGGAATAGACATAATACCCTTTGAGGAAAAATTATTCAGTGGAATATCTCAGCTTGTTCATTGCTTCATGATTATGATTATTATACGTGTTTTCATGGGGGAGAAGATTTATGAGGAACAGGTAAACTATATATGTTTATTGCAGAACTTCATTGTTCTGCATTCTCAACTTAACTTGAAAATTTGAAATATTTTATTTGAATTACGAATAGCAGTAGAAGATACACTTCTATTTTTTCAACTTATATTCAATATTCATCATATCTTACTGCAAGCCATGCACATTTGTGACAGGTGGGAGTAGATCCAAAAGGATGGAAGCTACATACTGGAAGGAGTTTACAAGCTTCATAAGTAGAAATTAATTAGGCTTACTAGTATGCAGAGACCTAGAGTGAGAGGTCACGGATTCGAATTCAAGTCTCATTGTAAAAATTGATAAGGTTGCGCACAAAAATTTCCTAAATTCCTATCCTCAGAAGACAGGATTTGATGGGAAGAGGATTTTAGTTTATAGAGATGGCTGAAAAAGAATTCATCAAGAAGGTTTAAATGTTTAATATTAACTTGTACATTTTGGTCAGGAATTGAACATCAGAAGATTTTTGGCCCTTTTGAATAAACAACCAAGAGAGATAAAGTATGTGGCTGCTAGGCTTGTCTTTGTCCCAACATTGGAGGAAGGAATGGAACAAAAAGGACAATAGCTCAGTCAAAGATTTGCATTGTTAGCTTTTCAAAAAAATTAATGGTCAAAATGTATATAACAGACCTCACTTGTCCTAAATTGTAGTATTTTGACCTGTTCAATACAATTCCCTCGGTCAAAAGTCAAAACTCTTATCTATTGGCAATAAAAATTAATGTTACTGGTGAGTGAAAGCTAAGCTGATGCAAAACATTGTTTTCAAGTGTATTTACCAGCATTATGTAGGGACCCGTAGGAAATAATTTATAGTTAAAAATATGGGATAAGTTATTCTACTTATTATTATTTTTTGCCTACCTTTGCCTACCACTTTAAAAGACCATCAGATTAGAATCTCAATTAACATTTATCTTTCTCTCTCCTCTTTAGATTCTGATCTAACGGTATTAAAGAGTGGTAGGCAAAGATAGGCAGAAAAAATGATAGGTAGAATAACCTATTCCTAAAAATATATATACTATGCGCTCACTTTTCTGTTGAAAGCAAAAGCTATTCGTAAATTTAGCAAACGCTTTAAATCCAGTTGATTATGTGTTCTGTTCTTATTATTATAATGCTAATGCACAAGGATTAATACCAATCCTCACTCAAATTAACAATGCAGATATGATCAAAGGAAAACACATCCAAGTAATAAGCAAAGTAAATATTGACAAAATCATTCTAAATTGCATTTTAACGCAGCTCAACTCAGAACGTGTGCCAACTTTCATGCCATGGCATGAACGGGATAATATTTAGCTTCCTGTGTTTAGCCAAAAAGAATTATATATTTTCTGACTTTTAAAAGTGATTATCATATTTGGTTATGAGATTCAGATCCCCTAATTATGGCTAAAAATTTTTGTGGACTTTCTTTTTCTTTAGGATTTGATTTGCTCAGCATGGGATTTGAGTTTAGTGAAATACTAAATGTGTTAAGTGTGAAAGTGCCTCATACTTCAGAAGTCTTGACTATTGATATTTGACCTATTCTTCTTCCCACAACTTCATGGCGATGAAAACCCACTTCGCAATTAAAATAATTAATAAACTATCAGAAACGGTCAAAGAAAATGAAATCTAGAAAGGGAAACCATTAAAAAGTACTTTCCATGAATCTATAGACTATATAAGACATTCTGCTGTAGGTTCATTATGCTTATTTATTCAAGTTAAAGTACGGTTTCTCACTTCAAATTTTTGTCCACATATTTTACTTAATTGGAACTATGCCCCGAATTCATAAGCCACTCAGCCAGGACAAGCTACCATAACTAACTAACCATTCATTTTACTATCACTATTTGGAATTTCCAATTGAGCTTCAAGCATGGATTTCTGATTTGTTACTGATGTTGGCTCTCTATGTTATGGAGGCCAGAGATAAAAGGAAGAGACATAAGTTCAGATATCAAAAAGACCAATAATAGTGAAGCTTAATTAAATACAATTTCTTAACGCTCAATCAACTGGATCCATCTGCATTGATAAGTTATTAGTGACGCGTTTTCTTTTTCAGTAAGAGAGACTTTGATAGTGTCATTTAACTGCTTAATAATTAATTTAAAAATTTTCAGCAATTAAGCGAGAGTCAATAAAGGGTGGTTCTATTTTTTAATATATAAGCACAAGCTGGTTTTGTGATCGATCTATCCAAAGCATGCTTTTTAATTTCCCTGTATATATCTACCAACTCACACAATGAACTTGGTTGGCTTTGGCTACAAACTTCCAAAAGCAGACACCTTTTGAGAATAATCTAGAGAATGGTAATCCACAGTTTCTGCTTTCTAGATGTTATAAAGTGGCAAGTTGGAACAAACAAATTAATGAGACTAAATGAGCGTTTACTTGGGAGTACTATAGCTAAATTTTATAAACACATCAATATCTTTAGTCTCTTTCTTTATACATATTGGACAAAACAAAACCTATATTATATTATAATGTTGTCATAAAACAAAGAGGAATTGAATCGAATATACATTGCAATGTATATTATGAGGTTATTGACTTCATTTTCTTCGGTCGAGGTCAGACAATAAATCATATATAGAGCTGCTCTTGACTATATATCCGGTTAACCCTTTGGTGAATTCTTGATGTACCTCTCCCAGTGGATGAAATGCACTGGTTAGTAGAATCTAAAGTGAATCTAGTGATCATTAATTCTTTGTTACAAGAATGAAATAGCACACGCGCACTCACGAAAAGAAATCGCTGATCCACTTTTTGTAGTTATAAATTTCATAACATTTAAACAAATTGTTTCAGATTCTTTTTCAGGTTTGACACGAGGTATCGGATTTCAGATTAGTGCTTGATTGGATTATATTTTGTCAAATAATATTTTTCTAATAAGAACCATTTGTTTATTACAAGAATATAATAAATTGTGATTATTATATTACAAACAATTATTTGAGTAACACAAATTTTAATTAAATTTTACAATACAGTTTAAATAAATACTCTTATAACGCATTCATAAAAGTAGAGAGCGTGACTTAAAGTTATAACCCTCCAAAATATTAATATAATAGTAATTGTTGGTCTCACTTTTTTGTCTCAGTAGGAGACAACTCTTCTATCCTCTTAAAGAAGAAAAGTATTCTTATAGTAATTGAAAAATGCTTTTCTCCTTTCGGTATAATTACTTTATTATAAAAGTAAATGAGAATTATAAAAAAATTCAATTGGAGTACGGTTTATTAAATGTAGTGAATACTAATTTTTCTATATTCTTTTCATGTCGTTATCTCTTTTCTACTTTTTTAAACTGTTCTAAAGAAATAAGTACTTTTGGTAAATAAACAAATAGGCAAAATAATTATATATTTTTGGCGATTGATGATCTTCATATATATTAAACAATCTTTGTCATGTAATTGTTATACTGTGTCTCAATTGCTTTCATATTAAGTATGTGACTGCGTATGTGCTGACGAAAACCTAACCTTGAATTTGTTTCTTTTACTTTTCTTACCCTAACCATAAAACGAAGAGAGTTGGACGATGCACGTGATTTAACTTATGCTTCAGTACGTATAATTTGTCCATCTGGTTTTTTTGAGTAAGGTTATGATTAAGAGCTTAGAAACCATAAATTTATTAAATAAACTCAACTTACATTTTTTATAACATATTTGTCGTTTACTCGTTAATAACAACTGTTTACGCGTTGATGATTTTTAAACCGTGATATGTTGATCAAAATAGGTGTTGATATACTAAATGATAATAGCTTAGTTGGTCTCAAAAAACTGAGTAGGTGGAGGTGAAAGTATGTGTTTGATCCTTTTTAGTATCACATTTGAGAAAGATTTAAAGCCTTAATTTGAAACTAGTCTTGAATCGGACTAGCCGCGAATCGATGAAACGATTGAAATATACCAAAAAAAAAAAATGAGTGTTGACAAGACACACCATAATGTTAGAAGTTTGTGTGTTCCGGAAGCAAACAAAATTTGGTGGGACTGAGATGAGAGAAACAAATAAAAGGTTGAGGAGAGAAAAGGAATTTTTTTTTTTTCGTCCAAGTGTCAATTTTTTAGTGGAAGGACCATGATAGTCCTGGACCATATTAAAAAATTCAATAATGTTGATACGAGTTTGGAGTAGTGGAATAATTATTCCTTTATAATTGAAATGTTCTCTGTTTGAATTTGGAAAACAATATCAAAATTTAATGGTGAGTAATTATTATTTTTTTAAAAGTAAACCTTTATAAATTATTTTTGTCATAATTAATTAATTTTTCAAGTTATAGAACAAAATGATTTACTAATTGGTGATAATATATTATATGTCTTACTAACAAGAAAAGATATACGTCAAAGGAGTATAAACATATAGAAGGGTGCATAATGCTTTTTTACTCTGAATTGAAGATTAGACGTGGGACGGTGTTAAGAAATATAATACCGTGAGATGGTGTTAGAAAATACAATAAAAAATTATTCATATATTTTCAGCAAAGAGCTTAAATTATTATGAGACTTAGTTTATAACATGGTATAATAGCTTATGATCAAGTGAAATAGAATTTAAATAAAGTTAAATTTTAACACAAAATAAAAAAACATGTTATTAACTTAAGTTTTTACTGAAAATTGGTTATTTGATATGGCATCATAATTTTCATGACCAAATTATCCAAAGTTTGACAATATTGTAGAACTTTTTAGTACAATTATATATGAAGTTTGTTAAATTGTCTACCCTTCATGCGGTTTTTATTTGAGAGAATCTATTAGAAATACAATATAAAATATAAAACTATTCATTTATCTTCACCTAATAAAATTACATCGCAAACTTTAATTTATTTGAAAAAATGCTACTGTTTTAAAAAATAAATTACATAAAAATTATTGAATCTGTGTCAATGCTGGCAAAATTATAGTAATAATGATATAAAACTGAGACAGTGTTGTGTATACTTTGCGCTGTAAGTAGTACTCAAATCCAAACGCCAAATCAGAGTCCATCAATCTATTAATTAGTTAAGGTTGAAGTCAGACTTTGATTATAGAAGTAATATATGCAAAAACATATAGTGCGAAAAATGCTTAATGTACATCATCCATAATTCACTTTGAGAAATATATAATAGAATTAAAATACAGGAAAAAATATTTCTGCAGTTAAAATTCTCAAAACGACGTCATTTTGGTATTGAAATCTTAAAAAATTATAAATATAATGACTATTATAACCCTGAAATAAATTAAAATTACAAAAATATCATGATTTCCGTCCCAAAACGACGTCGTATTGAGCTTACTGCAGATAACTTATCTGCAGTAACTGCAGAAAAAGCAAACCCTAAAATATATGTGTGTAGAAAATGATGGAAATAAACTGTAATTATATAAAAATGTGTGTATCAGAATGGTAATATATCTATAAACATGTATAATTGTTATTATTCAAATAGTTCCAGCTGTTGATTAACGTGTACAAGGCAATAGAAGGAAAAAAAAGTTATTGATAATTATTAGGAGAGAATTATATTTTTTTTTGAATATTATAAGAATCGAACTTGCAACCTAATACACACTACACACACAGGAGAGAATTATATTAACAAACTTTTTGTTTACAAATTATATTATATACTTTTGAAAATACATTAAATTATACTATATACTTTCAAATGTATACAGTGTAATTTATAAAAATTTATTAAAAAAAAATTGTACACGGATGGTTCCCTAGTTGTTACACAATAATTCTGTTACTTTGCTTTGGACAACAATCCCTTCGGTACCTACTGAACATGGGAAATGTCAAAGTTCAATAATGCACTGGCAATGAATCTTGGGGAAAAGAACCAGGGAGTGCAATGTCGGTGTTTGTGGGTGGTACTATATATATGAGATGTCTCTCCAACTAGGTAGCTTTTGGCCCAAACTTGTTGTGATGGCCTCTTGTGTATACACCACAAAAGACAACTTCGACAACGCAATCCTAATCTCCCATACGTCACATGTCACATTTCGTCTTGTAGATATATAGATTGCATAGCAATTTGGATCAATCTAACTTCCACGCACCTTTAAACTTTTCCTAATATTCGTTCCTAATTTTTTCCTTCATTTCCACCTTTTCCACTATTCCCCCGTTGAATGAACACGCAAACGCCGAAAGAGTGCCTAACTTTCTCTCGATGGCAATGATACTGATCATTTTCAGCTAATAGAATCTTTCATAAGGGCTAAACCATATTGTGATTGAATGGCATCAATCTTTTTATTTTCCTTTAATTAAATGGCATTTAATCACTTCAACTTCGACCATATTGTTGACTTCTTGTTGGTACTTATATAATATAGTGAAACGAAGAGGGGAAAATTACACTTTAGAATCAGGTATGTTATGACAGTTATGTTTATAGATTCTAATATAGATGGCTATTATTTATTTTTTTTGGTAAACAATATAGATGGATATTATCAATAGCGGACTTAGAAATTTTTTTTAATGTCTGCACACTTCAAATAAAAGAATAAAGAAAAAATTTAAAGCAAATTTTAAATATATTAAAATACAAAAGAATATATATAAAAAAAAACTTTAACTTAGTATAAAAATAATAATTAAGAATCAACTAAACTGTTACAATAAACATTTTGGATCCTCAACAAAAATTATGGGCCTCAATTTAATCTCTTTGGGGAAAAAAAGTCTACTCGTGATCCCTCAGAATTCAAAAATAGACCCAGATAATCAAAATCATGGTCCTCTGAAATTCAAAAAAACCCACATTAACCCCTTAAAAGGACTAACATAGATCTATTTTGGATTTTAAAGGGATCACGAGTCAATTTTTTTTAAGAGATTAAATTGAATCCTGTAATTTTTGTTCATGACCAAAAATATATTTTATTTTATTTTTCTCCAAAAAAATTTGTGTGTGACACACTAAAACATACACCGTTCCGCCACTTGGTATTATGTTGACAAAGGAGCTGTTTAAAAAAAATTAATTAGCACTAATAACGAAAATACATTTCTGGAAAGGAACGAGAAGATATTAATTATGATTAAACTCGACTCGAGATTAATTCTATAGTTAATTCAAATAGTTGAAACTTTTAGGGATAACTGGGAAACGACTCTGTCGACATATAAAAAAAATGTATTATTAATATATAATAAAAAGGAAACTTTTAAAAAACATTAAGCATGTTGAAATCACTTATTATGTCCAACAAGAAACAATTTCTCATTAAATTATTAAATAATAATTTTTTTCTTTAGTGTTGCATGACGTTTTTTTAATTATATTAAATAATCAAATCTTAAATACTGAATTTTCTTGTATCTAAAAATTAATATATCTAATAAATTAAAATCATTAAATATAAATGAGATAACTTTAAAATTGAGAGTGTAACTTGGATCATGAACAATGATCCTAACCCTATTAAATATTTGGGCTGCGTAATTTGATGCATATTAAAAGGGACACTAGCAAAACAATACAGTATAGTTGAATTATATGATAATTATTTGTGTTGTTAAATGTTTGATTATCAATACATATGAATAAATATTTTTTTAATATATATATTATGGGGCTAGGGAAGCCCATCCACATATTAATGGACTAAGCAATAATCCATACGATATGATATTAATTATATCTCAAATTCTCAACTCAAAATTTTAAAGCATTAGGTTAATGAGTCATTTCATGCATATATTTCTTGTTTAACATACTTTTACAGTTTTACCTTATATGATACTTTATCTCTCACATTTAAATTTAGTATATTCTCCTCTTCAATTGTGTGAGTTGTACAATCTATGAAATCCCCCTTATGTGAAAATTTGATTCTTCATGTACCAAAAAAAAAATTTGATTCTTCAAGTATACTTGGGTTATCAACTCAGAGTGGTCAAGCGTTGGCTTCACAACATGTCCATGAAAAACTACACTACACTATTGTGCACTTTTAGAGCCCAAAATAGGAAAAATTGTCCCTACACCAATGAACTAAGCAACAATCCACAATAAGGGTGTACATGACAACCATTCTAATCCCTAGCACTGTTTCTGAAAAGAAACAATTCTTTTCTATTTTTGTTCCTTAGAACAGATTCTGAGGAAAAAAATGTGTTTGATAACATATTCAATTTTTATTTCGAGAATGAGAATTGCGTTTGATAACTCAACAAATAATATAATAAAAAATAATTCCTATTAAATATAAAAAAAATTGGATCATCACTTTCCTTTCCATATGGTGTGGTTGTGGTTGTGGTGGTGGTGGCGGCAGAGGGTGGCATGGTCGTGGCGGCGGCGGTACGACGGTGGTGGTGGTAGTGACGTGGTGACGATAGTGGTGCTGGTTGTGATGTAAGTGGCTGCGACGATGGCGGTGGTAGTGGTGGGGATGGTGGTGGTGGAGGTGACGGTAGTGGCTACGATAATGGTGGTGGGGATGGTGGTTGGTGCATTGGTGGCGGCGACAATGGTAGCAGCGGCATGGTGGTGGTGGTTGTCATGGCATCATGGAGATGGTGGTGGTGGTGGCAGTGGCAGTGGAGGTGATGGTAGGTGACAGTGGTGGTGGTGGTGGTGATGGTGGCGATTGTGGTAGTGGCAGGGTGGTGTAATGGTGACGATGGTGACAATAGTGGCTGTGACGATGGTGGTGGTGGTTGGTGGCGGCGACGGCGGCGATGTCGGTGGTGGCTACAGCAATGATAATGGTGGTTGGTGACATTGATGGTAATGGTAACGGTGGCATTGTGGTGGTAGTAGTGGTGGAGGTGACAGCAGTGACTGCGACAATGGTGGTTGGTGACATTGGTGGCGGCGACAATGGTAGCGGTGGCATGGTGGTGGTGGTGGTGGTTGTGATGGCATCGTGGAGATGGTGGTGGTGGTGGCAGTGGCTGCGGCGGTGGCGATGGTGGTGGTGGTTGGTGGCGGCGGTGATGGCGGTGTCGTTGGTGGCTGCAACAATGATAGTGGTGGTTGGTGACAATAGTGGTGATGGTAGCAGTGGTGGTAGTGGTGGCGATGGTGGTGGTGGCAGTGGCGTTGTGATGGTGATGGTGGCGACAGTGGTTGCGATGATGGTGGTGGTGGTTGATGGCAGTGGTGGTGGTGGTGGATGTTGCAGCGGTGGTGGTGATGGTAGCATGGTGGTAGTGATGGGTGGAGGTGGTGGTGATGGTGGCGGTGGCATCGTGATGGTGGGGGTGGTCACGACAACACTAGTGGTACGACGACGGCGACGACGATAGTGGTAGTGATCGTGTTGGGATGGTGGTGGTGGTGGTGTTGATGGTAGAGATGGAAAGTGATTAAGAGATATAAGTGTTTCTCATTTTGTGCCCGGGAACAAAAAAGCATAAATTTTCTGATTCTTTTTTCTGTCCCCAGCACAAAAATTAATCTGGTTCATCCTGAGAACAAAAAAATAAATCGATTTTACCAAACGAGTTTTCTATCCATTTTTGTTCTCGGGAACAGAAATTAAAAAAAAATTGATTCCGGGAAGGTTGTCATGCACCCTAAATGAACATGATATTACTTCTCAAATCAAATTATAATTTTATTAAATTATAGGGACTTATTTAAAAATTCAATAAAGTATAAAGACTTATTATTTTATTGTTCTTATTTCTGTCACAAAAATTCTTATAATTTGCTTAAATATTCAAACAAGTATATACACCTACATTTTTTTTTATTTTCAACCAAGTATAAGGATTAATGGTGAAGAAGAATTTATTTACAAAATTTAAAAAATATATAAACTTTGTCAAAGGATTTTTTTTTAAAAAAAAATTAGAGAAAATTTCCGAATAATTGAACTTAAAAAAAAAAAAATACCAACTAAAACATGTTAGAGCTACGTTCAAAAGACAGCTATCCGTAGCAAATAAGAATAATTACAATATTCATCGTACAGTTTTCGTCATGATCGTGAAGTGTATGCTTTTGAAATGAAATAGCGTTAATCCTTTGTATAGCCCTTTGTCAATTATTTAAATTGTAAAAACAAAATTTTAAAAATATTTTTATTTTTCAAGATTTAAAACTAAAAATAAAAATCAAGAACTAAGGATTAAAAAAAAAAAAACTAGAATTTCCGAAGATATATGAAATATCATAGAAACAAGATTTAACTTGATGAACGCATAAAATAATTAATATGTATAACAGCAATGACATCGTCTCAACTTCTGACATGAATAAAAAAGGAACAGTGGCTAATCTACTAGCTTCCAGATGCAGAGAGAGGTGGCTTTTGCAGTTTCACGTCGCACATTACAGATTTTGCATATTGCAGTTTCCACAAACACAAACAAAGAAGCATATCTCAGTGCCAGCCGCCATCCAGTCAAACCCACGAGCTTTGACCAAAAAAATAAAAAAACTTTAAAAAAATGCCAAAAGATATACACCGTGGCAAATTTTCCACGGTCAAACCATGCCTTCATCTCTTAGCTTCTCAGAAATATCGCCTCCCAATAGAAAGCAATGACTTGTGCATTACGTACGTGACCCTTTTTTCTCTTCATCTTCCTCTTTATATTAAACACTTCCATTTCTTTGTATCAAAACTTTTCCTCTTCACACAAACAACTTCACCTTTGTGTCTCTTATGGCATCTTCTTCTGGTAGCTTAGACACCTCTGCAAACTCTTACAACAACTTCACCTTCTCAACACACCCTTTTATGACCACATCTTTTTCTGACCTTCTTGCTTCTCCTATAGATGACAAGCCTCGTGGCTTGTCAGATCGTATAGCTGAGAGAACTGGGTCTGGTGTCCCAAAATTCAAGTCTATTCCACCTCCTTCTTTGCCTCTATCTCCTCCTCCTATTTCTCCTTCTTCTTACTTTGCTATTCCACCTGGGTTGAGCCCTGCTGAGCTTCTTGACTCACCGGTTCTCCTTAACTCTTCTAACGTGAGTTTCATGTGGTTCTCTTCCCTTCTTGCTTCGTGTGTGTTTTTTTTTTTTTATCTTGTTGACTGTGTTTGGTTGATAAGAAAATTTTGAACAAAGAAAACTGAAAGAGTTTTTTATTTTATTTTATTTTTTGGTTGTGCAAATCTGGTAATTGACCAAGACCTGAGTTGACTTGATAGTTTGATCATCTTAGAGATTTGTTCAATGGTTTAGATGTTAAACGAGAGAATTACTTTGAAGTTTAAACATGCTTTTCTTGAGATTTTCTTCTTCTTCTATTTTTGGTACTTTGTTCTGCCTTATGGATTGTGATTCTTTTCTCATGTGCTTACTTTTTATTGTTGTTGAATTGATGGGCATGTTTCCTTTTGGGTTTTCTATATACAGATTTTGCCATCTCCAACAACTGGAGCATATGCTGCTCAGAGCTTCAATTGGAAGAGCAATTCTGGGGGAAACCAGCAAATTATCAAAGAAGAAGACAGAAACTTCTCAAATTTCTCTTTTCAAACACAACCAGGACCTACTGCGACATCTTCAGCAACATTTCAATCTTCAAATGTCACAGTTCAAACAGTATGTGACCAATTTCAATGCATAGAGTAATTTATGCAAAGCCTATGTTTTTCTCTTATTGGTTTTATATGATAAGTTCTCTTCTCTAAAATGTTCAACCTGTCTTGTAACAGCAACAGCCATGGAGTTTTCAGGAAGCCACCAAACAGGATAGTTTTTCTTCAGGGAAGAGTATGATGAAAACTGAAAACTCTTCTTCGATGCAGAGTTTTTCCCCTGAGATTGCTAGTGTCCAAACAAACCATAACAATGGGTTTCAATCGGATTATAGCAATTACCAACCACAAGCTCAGACCTTAAGCAGAAGGTCAGATGATGGGTACAATTGGAGGAAATATGGGCAAAAACAAGTGAAAGGAAGTGAAAATCCAAGAAGTTACTATAAATGCACATACCCCAATTGCCCTACAAAGAAGAAGGTTGAAAGGTCTATAGATGGACAAATTACTGAGATAGTTTACAAGGGTACTCATAACCATCCAAAGCCTCAATCAACTAGGAGAAACTCATCATCTTCCTCTTCTGTTGCAATCCCTCCTTCAAATCCCATCAACACTGAAATCCCAGATCAATCATATGCCACCCACGGCAGTGGGCAAATGGATTCAGTTGCCACCCCAGAGAACTCATCAATATCAATGGGGGATGATGATTTTGAACAGACTTCCCAAAAGTGTAAATCAGGAGGAGATGAGTTTGATGAAGATGAACCTGATGCCAAAAGATGGTGAGTTCTTATTTGATCGCTTTGCATCATAATTAAGGTTCTCTAATCCACTGTGTGGCCTTTCTCTATATTATCATTTGTATGGTTCATTCCATGGTTAATTTTTCCATAAACATTCCAGGAAAATTGAAGGTGAAAATGAGGGTATATCAGCTGCTGGTAGTAGAACAGTGAGAGAACCCAGAGTTGTTGTTCAGACAACCAGTGACATTGATATCCTAGATGATGGGTACAGATGGAGGAAATATGGGCAGAAAGTAGTCAAGGGCAATCCAAATCCAAGGTAAAATATTAAGCACTCACTTTGGGTTTTACTTTTGTCCTACTTTTGGAAAGTTGTTCACCTTTTGAAGTTCTATTAAGAAATAGTAGTTTGGGAATCCCATCACGGAATTCCTTACACTGATGCTAGTAATAATATACAATTCTTAACTACTCAAATGTGGTAAAACATTATAAATGCACGATGAATGCTATTTCTTTATCTATCTTTTTAGGGACATGAGCATAATGGCCTTCTTTGTTGAAACTCTACAGCATGCTATACTTGTACCAGTTTCTCTTTACCTTTGTCTAAAATTTCTTGGTCAAATTTGGCAACTTTCGTTTTTCTCTTGTGTGCATGTGATTTAGAAGAATAATGGTACTGCCAGGTTGTCTTGTCTGATATTGTGTTTAACTTGTGACTTGTAGGAGTTACTACAAGTGTACGCACCCAGGATGTCCAGTGAGGAAGCATGTAGAGAGAGCCTCACATGACCTAAGGGCTGTGATCACAACCTATGAGGGAAAGCACAACCATGATGTCCCTGCAGCCCGTGGCAGTGGCAGTCATTCTATCAACAGACCACTACCAAACAACACTGCAAACCCCACCAATGCAGCCACTGCCTTAAGGCCCTCGGCAATGACCCACCACACAAACAATTCTTTTCAGAATCAAAGACCACAAGCATCAGAAGGGCAATCACCCTTCACCCTAGAGATGCTGCAGAGCCCAGGAAGTTTTGGATTCTCAGGGTTTGGTAACCCAATGGGGTCTTACATGAATCAGCAACAACTATCTGATAATGTGTTTTCCTCCAGGGCCAAGGAAGAGCCCAGAGATGACTTGTTCCTTGATTCTTTGCTATGCTGAAGCATTTTTTTTGGGTAGTTATGGAAGGTTGGAGGGATTAGGATTTTATTTGACAAATAAGATAAGGTTCATTCCATTTATTGCATTTTTTAGTTTGTTTTGTTGTAAATTTATACAGCCAGGGGATTGGTATAGTATATATTTCATAACTATTGTATTCCACACATGGTGTTTGTGAATTTTTTTGATTAATTCGGGGCTTCTCTTTGGCTGTAGATGGGAAGAGAGCCTCATATTAATCTTTTGTAAGATTCTGTTTATTTTTTCCTCCATCTTGGCGATTGTTCACAAGCAGAATAGTAAACGCACTAGAAATGAGTAGTTAATATAACTATTTCTGTTACACACCATATTGTGGTACATGGCTTACTGATTTTACAAATACTCCATACTCAATAGTAAGATATGGTCTATTAAGGGAATGGGGCTCAGATTCAGTGGATGTGTTGAAGAGGGTGGCTTTGATGATTGGAACTTGGAAGTGCATGTGTGACAAAGAGTTTTGTATTTAATTAGATGCCATACTTAGTCAAAGATGGGTGCTGGACTGTTTGGTGGGTAAGATGGTCGAGGTCAACTTTGGTTGTTTCCTTTTTTTTCCTTCCTTTCTTAAACAAATGGATGTTTCCACGTTGCCACCCTATCTATTCAAGTGGGGCAGTCATCAATGTTGTCTGATATAGTTGAAATGACTGGATTAGCCTTAAACCGGATTCTTGTACAAGGATAGGAATTAGGAAGCCAAGTGCTGAGAAGGGGCAGTTTTGCAAAGGGCTTGTGCATGCACTTTTGTTTAATGAGAGTTGTGTTAATGTAGACAAGTGGAAATGGAAAATACAATTACGTGCTGCACACGGTGTCCTTTGGCCTTAGGCCAAATACTGCAGATTCATTTGTCCTTATCTCATTGTCATGGAGTCACACATGCCTTTCCCCTCCTCGCCGACCTTGCAATTGCATCTCACGAACTCATCCATTTCTTTTATATGTACCACTATATCTCTTATTATTAAAATTGATTGAGTTATCGAAAAATTATAAGAGAAAACTTTCAGTGCAACTGTGGTAGATATGTTTATATTAAAAAGGAGAAAAAATTTGGACTTAAAAGAAATTATAAAAAAAAATTATAGATAAAAATAAAAAAATTCTGTTTTTAGTAAAAATGAGTATCGAGTTCAGTACTGTTGTAGCATTCAATTAATTTATTTTTTCCAAATTTTTACAAAAAAAAAAAAAAGTATTCTTTTTTTGTTACATCAAATCCAGATGTAAACAGATAAGTTCTAATTAAAAACAAGTTGATGTGTTCATATATATATATATAGGAATATTAATCTTATGTTACATGAGAGTATTATCTCATGCTATAGAGAGAGTTTAAGTAGGGTCCACCATTAAAAAGTAAAAAAGAAAAAGAAAAAAGTAAGAGTGCGATTTTCGATGTGAGAGAAAATGAGATAACTACCTCATGTAAAATGAGAGTAGTATTTCCCATATATATATATATATATGGGGAGGGATCATTTGACTCCAGAGTAAGATTTAAAAGTTTTACTCCTCATCTCAACCCTTGATTTCCGTTCATCCAACGGTTAGCATTTATTTAAAATTAATAATTAATTAATTGTTGTAACTTATTAAATGTTAACCGTTGGATGAACGGAAATCAAGGGTTAGGATGATGAGTAAGAATTTTAAATCTTACTCTGGAGTCAAATGATCCTTCCCCTATATATATATATATATGCTAACGTAGCAAATACTTTGATGACGCATGATGACACCATTGAATATGTCAGCAATTGTTATTCCTTTTAAAAATTGCGCGTTCATATTACAGATACAAAATATAAAGTATACAAAAAAGTTTACACTTGACCCTTCGAGCTTGTTTGGATCCTCTTATTTTTAAGCTAAAAGTTACTTATAAGTTAGAGTTCAAAAAAAGAGCTTAAAAAAAAGCTAAAAGCTGTTTGGAAATTACATAAAAAATTTAGCTTAAAAATTACTTAGAAGCACATATTTCAAGAAAACACACAATTCAATTATCAAAATTACTTATCCAATTATCAAAATCCTCTCTTTCTATCTTTATCACTCTTCATTTAAAAAAGAAAACACACAATTCAAGAAAAATAGACAAGAGCTTAAAAAAAAGCTCCTCCTAGTAGCTTTTAGTTTTCAGCTTTTTTCTTCATTATAAAAAAAAAATCTTTTCATTATAAGAGCTTTTCTCAAAACCTGTTTGGCCTAGCTTATGCTTATAAGTAACTTCTAACTTAAAAAAGAGAGGATCCAAATAGACATTTCCTCCTATTTATATTAAGAGGTAATTGATGCCAATCAATTGTGGTTTTTTATTCTATTTTATGAACTTAAAAAACATTATCGTTCTAACTACCAAAATGTAAACTGAAGTTCCAGCTCGTTTCAAGAAATCAATATTTCGTGTATCAAAGTGCCATGAAATTTTAATGGATAGTTGAGTAATTAAATTCTTACGCTTAACAAGAGGTGGACCCTGGATTTTTTTTAAAGTGGGGTGAAAATAAAAATTTATATTATAAATTAAAGTATATATAATAAAAAACGAACCTAATATAAAAATTTTGAAAGAATTTTATTACAAAATTCAAGATCTATTCTATTAACTCTTTACGTTTTTTCAATCTCTTTTTTAATATGTGTTAAAATATGATGTTAGGATATGATTATATTTTAACAATGTGTAATTAAAGAGTCATAAAAAAATTAATCTTTCATTCGATTCCAAATCTGCTCTTGATTGTCTTTATGGTTAAAAAAACTCTTTTAATAGTTGCTGTCGAAATTAGGAGAGTGGTACATGTCTAATCATTCTATCATAATAGGGTAAACGATTGATTTTTCAATTCATGTAAGCCCTTGATATAATTTAGATGCAATTGATAAATTATTCAAACATGGATGTTTAGGAATGTCAAGTTCAAAAAATGCTTTAACTTCATCTACAAGTGCAATTTTTCTTGTCATGTGAAATCACTAAAATAAAATTTATCTGAAAGTTTGCAACTATCATCACTATTAAATGACTTGTACCCATTTTTTGTATATGAGCTCATGCTCAAAGCAACTGATTTAACCGTATTATCAATGAATATATTATTTAATTCTTGCAATCAATAATCAATCATAGCACAAAAGATATTCATCCAATAAAATATTTTTGTAGAAAAAATCACCACACTCATTTTGAACACAACCTCTCCTTCCAATATATTTTGTAGTCATATCTGAAATGTTAATGTCATGTTTTATGTAAAATTCTCAAACTTGAGCGAAGAAAATATCTCAACTTGTCTCTCTAGAGAGGTGTAAAGTATTTAAATTATCTTGTAAAATTGGACAAAGAACTTCAATAATATCCATAATGTATCTAATTATTTGTAGCCCAAATATATCTAAATATTTTTAGCTCAAAATAATATATATATATATATATATATTAAAAAAAATCCAAAATTTAGGGAGGGGAGGTGGCCAACCTATCCCCTCCCTATGTCCGCTACACATATGTTGAATTTTGATAGAATTCGAGTAATTTTAAGAGAGGTTGTTGAGTGAAATAAAATCATGAAATTATTTAAACACTTACTTATCTGAGATTCAATAAGAATACAAAATTATTTTGCCCTAAAAAGTGGTGGATGCCTAGCATCTTTAATATATCAATCTCACTTCTCACACGTCTGGGAATTAACAAAAAAACAAAACAACAATAGGCCATAACAATAGCCCACAGTTGTATGGGCTTGAGTCCGGCAGCGGAATGAAAACAACTGCAGAATTACAGGTGGCGATCACAAATTAAAAGGTAACTTCCATCTCATAACCAGCTGGGCTGTACTTGGCATTGAGGGAGACCTCACGTGAGCCCTCAAATCTAGCACTCTTAGGCCCGGTAATGAAATATTATTTGCAATACTTCAAAAAAAAAAAAAAAAGTTGTAGTGAAATTCAACCTCTTTTTTTTTTTTTTTCTTAAAAAAAATAGATATTATTTTCTCCTATGACACAGAATTAAAATTTATGTTTTATGTGTATGTATCACATTAGAACAATTGTGAAAATCTCCTTCTAGGCTCTTTACAAAAAAGTAAGAGGTTTGGCTAAAAAAATTTGGGGATCGGTATCTAGCGACTAGAGACAATTTAGGTATCCAATTATCTTTGACGAAATAGCCGGTGATTAAGGTGATGATAGGGGAAATATTCCCCTTTAATCTCTGTCTCTGTCTCTCTTTCTATATCTTTTTTCAATATCCTTACATATGAAAACTTAGTTGGATTTAGATTGCGAAAAAGTAGTCATGTGATTATGTTATTTGATCATAATTATTTATTATTTTCACACATTAATGATGAGATAATTAAGAAAGAAAAAAATATATAATTTTTAAATAAACAGTTATAATCAAATAACATATCACATGACCACACATTTTCACGTGAGAGTATTCAAACTCTTCTTCCCTTTCCTTCATTTACTTTATGTTCCCCTTGATCGGTTACCTGCCATCCAAACATAATGCTAGGTCAGGGTACTAAACTCGTCATGTCACATGATAAGTCAATGCCATTAATTAATCATGAATGTATTTCTTCAATAGTAATTTAGTGGCAAAGCTTTTATTTCAGAAGACAGGGTGAGAAAGAGAACTTGTGGCGAATTTACAGTGTAACCCTGCATGCCACTACTTCATATATAGGAGATTATGTTGATTATTGAATAATCGGATTTTTAGGTGCACAATCTAAATGTGAATTAATATCATTGTACCTCTAAATTATCCACACTAAACTAAAAGCAAAGAAAGCTGGGGATATGGTGTACCCATTAGTAGTCCCACCCCAATACCACTAATTAACTGCTAAAAATATCATCATCGACTAATCACAAAACAAAACTAATTTTAAGACACCAAACCCGCAATTCAGAGTTACCGCTTGAAATTAATAAATTAAAGACTTCTAACAAAGTTGGTGGTGCAAGGTCTACGTCCTCCAAATTCCTGGGTTTTATTTTTGATCCTATTCCCTCTTAATTTCTTCATTCTCTGCGCCCCCTCCCCTCCTTTTCATTGCATAACTTCCATGCATTAGGATATGATCTCTTTTCTAAATTGTGCTTGATTTGCACCAATTCTCTCTTTTGGTGACATGGCTGAACTGAACACAAGCTCGACCACTGTCATATTCGCAAACAAAACCATATGGGTGTGCGAGAAAGCAGCAGAGTTTTCAAAGTCAAAAGGAATATTCTTCGGCGATAACCCATTACATTACATGATGCCAGTGCTCGCTCTGCAAACTTCCTTAGTCTCAATTTTGACCACATGCTTACAACTCCTACTTATCCCAATTGGGGAGAGTAGCTTCGTTCCACAAATGCTGGTAACATATAATATTTTGTGCAATGTTTATAATTAAATTGAAGTCCCGGGGTGCATAAGTAACATTTTTGGTAATCAAATGCATCTTTAGGGGGAATGCATCCAATTAATGTAACATTAATTGGCGTTGGATATATTGGTTAATTCATTTATTGTTGATATGTAATGATTCAGGCAAGCTTGCTAATGGGACCATCAGCACTGGGAGAAATTGAAACCATTAGAAAATGGATATTCCCACCAAAATCTTTCTATGTAAGTGAGACAATCGCCCTTTTCGGGAGCATGACGTTCATGTTCTTGATTGGAGTCAAATTAGATATACGAACGGTAACGAGAGCGGGGAAAAAGACTTGGGCCATTGGCGTATGTTGTTTTGTAATGCCAATGATACTTAGCACATTTGTTGCTCTTATTCTAAGGCAAATGTTGTCCCCGGAACAAACTCTCCACCAGTCCCTACTTTATATCGCATTTTTGTTATCAATTACTTCCTTCCATGTCACTGCAACTCACTTAGCAGATTTAAAGCTCCTGAATTCAGAGATTGGTCGATTAGCAGTCTCTTCATCTATGGTGAGTGGATCACTCTCTGCCATGGCGGTCATGTATATAGTCACAAAGAAGCAAAGTAGCTTAACGAACGACAACTCTTTCAATTGGATGATGATTTCTATGATTGTATTGGTGGTTTTTATATTATTCGTTCTTCGCCCTATCATGTTGTGGATGATACGCCAGACACCCAAAGGGAAACCAATCAAAGAGTCATACATAGTTTGCATCTTTCTCATGTTAATGGGATGTGCATTTTTTAGCGAGTGCATTGGGGAGCACTTCTTGATTGGACCTATTCTTCTAGGCATTGCAGTACCAGAGGGACCGCCACTAGGGTCAGCATTGGTTGAAAGGCTAGAGACCATGATCTCAGCGGTCTTTGTTCCATTGTACTTCCTCTTCAGTGGTACCAAATTCAAGTTCTCTCTACTTGATACCCCTAGCTTTGCTATTGTGCAGCTTGTGGCTATATTTAGCTTCTGTGGAAAGGTTCTAGGAGCCATGTTGCCTTCAATTTACTGCAAGATGCCTGTGGCTGATGCTCTCTCCTTAGGTCTCCTTTTGAGTGCCCAAGGCATATCCCAGTTGCTTTACTTACAGAGTTGTCTATACCTTTTAGTAAGAATTAATACTTTTAATTAGATATTTACACACACACATGCACGTATGATACATGAATATCAAACTAAAAAATTTGACACTGTAGATTTTAACAATTGATTTTCGTCAATCTAATGATTATTTATTAAAAATTGATAATTAATTAATAAGTGTGACCCAATAAATTATAATCGTTAGATTGACGGAAATCAATAGTTAAAATTTAGAAGGATTCAGCCCGCATATAATATTATATATATGGGCATATTTTTCCCTTCTTGTTCTTTCTAATTTGCCAGTTTGAATGTGAACATGTCTTGTCTTGCAGATTATAGATGCACAATCATATGGTAACATGGTGATATCTATGATATGGTTGACAGGAGCAACCACACCTATAGTGAAATTCCTGTATGACCCATCCAAGAGGTACTTGTCCTCAAACAGGAGAAGGACCATTGAGCATAGCTCTCCGAATGTTGAACTTCGTCTCATGGCATGCATACACAGTCAAGAAAACACACCACCCATCATCAACGTTCTTGAAATGTCGAACCCCACACAGGAGAGTCCAATTTGTTTTTATGTGCTTCATCTCATTCCTCTAACAGGAAGATCAACCCCACTTTTTATTGATCACCAGCCAAGCAATAAGACGAATTCATTACATTCTAGTCATTCACAGCACATCATAAATGCCTTCAGATCCTATGAGCTGCAGAACTTAAACAAAGTGGTGGTGAATCTCTTCACATCCATGTCCCCTTATGAGACAATGCACGATGAGATATGTACGCAAGCTGCTGAGAAGAGAGCATCTATGCTGATTGTGCCATTTCACAGACAATGGACATCAACTGCGATTACAGAATCAGCACACCCTATTAGAGCATTGAACCGCCATTTGCTCAGAACAGCACCTTGTTCAGTTGGGATCCTAGTTGAACGTGGTGCCTTAAATAGGTACAACCCTTTAACATGTGTCTCCTTTTACAGTGTTGGAGTGATCTTTATAGAGGGGCCAGATGACCGTGAAGCTATGGCTTTTGCAATGCGAATGGCTGATCATCCAAATGTTAGGGTCACAGTAATTAGGTTAATGGAGCCTCGCAAGAAGAACAGGAATTTGATCAACAGGGATCCTGATGGTGATGTGATTCACAAGTTTAAGGTTGACTACATCCAAATCAAACGCCATGATTATAGAGAGGAAATCGTGAGAGATAGCGTGGAAGTGGTCAATGTATTACGGTCACTTGAAGGTTGTTTTGATTTGATTTTGGTGGGTAGAGGCCATGCAAGTGACTCAACATTATTCACTGGAATGACCGAATGGAATGAGTATCCTGAACTTGGGTTTGTCGGAGACATTCTAGTGTCTTCAGATTCTACATTTGATGGGTCTGTGTTGGTGGTGCAGCAACAGAAGAGGTCTAGGGTTTCTCATCATGATTTGCATCTAGATCATGCCATTAATACGAGGCAAGAACCCTTTTCCATTGTGGAAGTGCCTCTTGATACAAAGGTATGGCGAAATGCTTAACCATATTAGATCAGGAACACAGTTTTAGATTCCATATACATATATATGGTTTGCTTCCATTATTTATTTTGTTAGTACTTTGCGGATAAAAATTAGCCTGTGGATTTGTAAATAAAAACATGTAATTAATTAAATGATAGAGAAACTTATAAGGTATGTGTGTATTTTCTATATCGGATTACAAAAGTTTTCATAAAGTAATTAGACGGTGGACAGCATAACCCTTTGTTATCGAGTTTGTCTTGGTGTTGGTTACCCTAACTGAAGACACAATCTACCTTTCAAGTTGCATTTTTGCATTATAGTGATGAAAATGAGGATGGTGGAATATAAAAAAAAGCTAGTGGTGCGTATATGGAAGCACACTGAATTGGCATATATAATGATGCACGACAAAGCACGTACACTGATCAATTATAACGACAACTAGATTGAAATGAGCAACTAGGAGTACTCCTGGTACGGAGAGAGGGATGGTACACATGCTCTTTGTCATCCACCGCTTCTTTGACACTTTTCTTTAATGATTAATTCAACTTAGGAGTATGTGTGACCATATTAAGGATCACAATTATTGAGTTTTCTTTTATGCTTCAGCAACATACGGATAGGTGGACAGCACATAATTAGATTTTCTTTATCAGAATTTGCTCTCCACTTGTATTTTTATTGGGGACGAAGAAGGGTAACAAGAATAATGTGACATTCAACAAGTTAGGTGGATAGATTGTTGTGTGGCTATAACACTAACCGTACGAATCCTCCTATTTTTAATTTCTCTTTTTCTTAGAAGTAAAAATTAGATCAAATGAGTTTTGAGAAAAGTTTTTATAATAGAATTTTTTTTTTTTATACTGCAGAAAAAAGTTAAAAGCCAAAAACTCCTAGGATAAGCTTTTTTTTTAAGCTCTTATTAACTTTTCTTCAATTATGTGTTTTTGTTTTTGAAATGAAGAGTCATAGAGATAAAGATAGAGATAGAGGGAGGCTTTTCTTGAAATGTATGTTTTTAAGTTAAAATTTTTATGTAATTATCAAACAACTTTTAGCTTTTTTTAAACTCTTTTTTTAACTTTATCGTAAAAATAACTTATAGATTAAAAAATAGAGGATCCAAACAGGCTCTAGTACTAAACCATATATTCTTATATCAACCAAGCATAACCATATATTCTTATATCAACCAAGCATACATGAGAGTGAATATATTTTAATCCATCTGAATATAATTGAAATATTAAGATGTGACAAAAGCTTGTAAAAATTAAAAATAAATTAACTAATTAGTGAAAATGAAAATATTTTTCTTTCCAAGATTTTGGATTTAACTATATCTATATATATATATATATATATCAAATACGATTTTGGGCGCGTTTAAATAATTTCTCCAAAAAAAAAACTTTTGCGATATAATTTTGTTTTGGAAAATTTTCAGCCAATACTTTTTAAATTTTAGAGAAAAGTATTAAAATAATTTATTTGAGTTTTTTTTTCTAAAAAAAACTTATCTAATTATTACAAAAAAATTAAACGTTTTTAAATAAAAAACTTTTTTTTTTAAAAAAAAAAGTTACAAACAAACATGCTCAAACACTTCTCCTACAATTAATTTTGATTCATTTAACCATTTTAATTACAATTGAAAGACAAAAGCTCAAAACAAAAAAAAGGGACAAAAGGAACGTTATTAAAACCGGTCCGGTCAATGATCCGGTCGAGGTACTGGGTCACTGGTTCAACCGCATGACCCGATAATTATATGCAATTTTATAATTTACATTAAAAAATTATAAACATACTCAAATATTTAAAAAATATGTTAAAATTTTAATATAAAAAATAATAAATCACATAGTATTATCCAATAAAAGATCAAACAAAAATATAATGATCATGATACGAGGCTTTAGGTTCATAAAACGACATCTGTAACTATAAATCAAATCAAAATTTTATGCATAATGCATAATTGAGATAATATTAGTGTTGTAGGTACATAATTTATGTAAGTCAATAAGCAAAAAAATATTCAAATATGTTAATTATGATTTTTTTTGAAAAAAAAATATTGAACTTTTTTTTTTTGGGACCGGGCCAGGTCACCGGTTTTCATGAAAACCGGCCGGGTCGGACCGGTTCTGATGCATGACCGGTCCGTTGCTTCAACCGGACCGGTTACATGACCGGTTTACCGGTTCCTGGGTCGACCCGGTCGGGTCGGTCCGGTTTCTTAACACTGGACAAAAGCTCAATATAAATTTTTTATGGCAACCTCACAAAGTGAGTTTACTCCACACATTGCGAAACATACTATGATTGTATATAAGAGGTAACTTGATATATTTGTGAGTAAACGGCGTGTTAATTTCCGATAGAAATATGTTATTTTTCATCAAGTATCATCAAACTAAAACATAGATGGAGTGCCACTATATAACGTCAAACCAATTTAATATATATTGAGACTCCAATCTCCAATATGGGACGTGGGCATGCTTGAGAGATTTAGGCAAGTTTTCCTCCAGGATTTGGAGGTAACGACTGAATTCCGTGAGCTTAGTGTCTTGATCTGCTTTGTCCTAACCAAATGCGTCGCACAAGGCTCAATGCTACTTACTCCCGTCCTTGGATCTCCCTCTTTATCATTTCTTTTTACAATTTTTTTATGCATTATTATCAAATTGATTGAATTTTTTACTTATTTTCATGATCATTCTGTTTAGAAATTATATCAAGTTACCACCCTCGTAATCATGTCTGGTAGTTAACTGCCATTTTTTATACTAATTAAATTTATATGTTTGAATGTTTTGTCAAAATCAATTCTGACAATTTTTATGGAATTAGCTTTAGAAGAGTTTTTTTTTTCTTGCATCAATATCGTGAATAATAAAATTGATTTTAGGCATACCTGCTAATTTTATTTATGAAAGATTATCTATAGTTAACACTATAAAATCGTAAGGGAGACTCACAAATTAAGTTTTAAAAAACATCTAACCAAACTCAAAATTTGAAAATGAATTATTTTACAGTCAAACATTTTACAATTTAACTTAAGGCGAGGAGGAGTTACTCTTTGATTAAAAGGAAGTGAATGCCAAATTTAAGAGGAGTTTACCTATGTCCTTACTTTTAACTTAATCGATGAAATTTTACCTTGAAATAAAGGCATCCAATCAATCCTGTATTCATACGTATGTTGTCAAAAGTTAAACCATTTGATTTAAAGAAAAGAAAACTAACAACAATCAGTGAACTTCTGTTTTTTGTTCACTAAAACAGATGTGCATCGATCTATGAATATGATCTAGAGGAGTGAAACCAAAGTAGGTATATGGTCCAATCGAACTAGTATAATAATATATGGATGAGTTGGAGTCTGAGAAAGCGATGTGCAAAGAATTAATTGTCTATTATTGGTATGGGAGAGAGGAGAGGGAATCCATGTGAATAACTGAGAAATTAATTGACAATAAGTTAAGGAAGATATGCCAGCTTGTTTGCTTGTGTAGCGTGGTGATGTCGCCAATGTTTCTACCAAGTCCCACCTTTTTCTCCTATCTAATGCTTCTACCATCTATCTTTTTCTTATCGAGTGTTTCTTTCGAAAGTATAATTCTTCCAAATAAAAAAGGTATAATTAAGTATCATTTAATTACTTGTTTTACTAAACCTCTTGTAGTGCTCAACCGTCATTCAACAATCAAGAGTTTTCAGCTATTTTCTTCCTCTCTCTTTTTTTTCATTTTCGTTTATGCTTAATTTCTTGACAGCCTACACAAGTTGTTCAGCACGTGTAAATATTAGATTATGAGTAATATATAAATTTGTTGCACTTTATACATTGATTTATGACTCATGATAGATTCCGTGTTTACTAAATGTACGTAATATTGTTTTGTATAGTAACTATTAATATGAATTTTGAAATTTAACATATATCTTAATATCGAAGCCTTTTAAACATTAATATGGCCAACTAAATTTCACTTAAGCTCAATCCAAAAAATTAAAAAAAAAAACCACTGAAGCTTGTATTGACTCATTAAATGATAAGAATGAAAAGAAGGCCCGGATGCACAATCATCTACCTTAATTGGGACATAATCTATGCATTTGCTCCCCATGTTGCCTAAGAAAATTCGTTAATTCTGTGCTTAAGTTTAATTACTTTGACTTCATGGCTTGTACTCTTTTCTAATTATATGTACCTAGTTCTTCCGATTACAACTGTTCATCACCTAAAAGTAGCGCGTTTATTTACCAAATATATATATATATATAAAATATTATAGTAAATAATTTTATCTTCTACATACACATAAAAGTATGTGTGGGTCATTTTTTTTTCTCTTTCTCTTCACATGGGCCTTATATATTTTTATGTGTGTAAAAAATAAAATTATCTCATACAACATGAGATATATATATATATATATATATATATATATATATATATATATATATATATAACTTTAATATATATCAACTACAAACTAGTAAGTAATCAAAATAATAATGTCAACCTAAGCCTTCTATTTTTTTTTTTAATAGATTCCTTGAGTGGACAAATGTGCCTAACGTGCATGCTCCAATTAAATATCAAATTGAAACTCGGCTTAATCATTGGAATATGGATCTAACATTTGGAAGATGAATGGGACGCCACCATAAATGTTTATTGCTCAGGGTGCATACATTGATTATTTAGGCAAAAACAAAACAAAACTGCACTTAAATTTTCAATTGGAGATGAAACTTGAATTCTTCACCACTCTTAAATAGATAGGCTTGAATTTCAAATTTTGGGGTACAAATATTAAAACAAATACTTTTTTCTCGCTTTCATTTCATATACGAGAAAGAGAAAAAAAAAAAATTCTGAATTCCTTGTCCGTCTCTCGATTATTATTATTATCATTTTTATTTGTATGAAGCAAGTGCATATTATAATTGATAAAATCAAGCCCAAAAACAAAAGTAAAAACCTAAATAGAAAAGCAAGGTAACTTTTATCCACAAAATTAAATTCCCACAGACATTAGAAGAGAGAGATATATAGAGAGAGAGAGGAGTCGTGTTTCTATATTTTTTTTTTTTTTGATAACATTCTATATTTTAATAATTCAAGTATTGAACCATTTTTGGTTCCAAGCCCCGTCCGGCATACCGGTTTCCGGCACCGGCGATTGAAACACATAGAAAACTAATTCAAATCTTCAGAGATGCTCTCCAAATAAGGCCGCCACACTCCGACGCGGCCGTGCCGGCGATCTCGCCGTGAGCATTTCTTCTCCTTAGAGGCCACGTCAGTGACGGTAAGGTAACCATCACATTCCCGCGATGATGAGAGATCATGGTTGCACTTCTTGCTCTTCTTTGAGGACGCTTTCTTTCTAAGATCGTCATTATCACCGACGCTGCCATTCACGCGCCTTTTCTTCTCCGGCAAGGACGACGACGGGATCAAGAAGTATATGCTGCCTCTCTTGAGCTCAGTCTCCGGCGAGAGGATGAGAATCCGGCGAACAACTCCTTGGGAGGTTGGTTTGCTTAGGACATGGTTGGGGTTGGCCTTGAGAACCTCCCCTGCTGTGATTGGACGTGTAATCACTTCTACGTTGCCGTTTAAATGGACTATGCGAATCAAGTCTAAAGCTCCACATGGAAGAACACAAGCCAAACAACACCTTAAGCTGTTACCCATGATTGTTTTGGAGTCTTGGAAATCCTATGTGTGTTTCAAGCTAGCTTTGAATATTATTGTTGGGGAGTTCTATATGAAATGGGAAAGTGTTGAATGGTGAGTTGTGAATATATAAGCAAACAACCAACCGTAGGTATACGTACACTCATAATAATGCAAATAAGGATTTAATAATAATTGTTGAACTTGTGGATTCAAATTGACGAAACTGCCCCATCACAAAACAGTGGTTTACAAATATTTTTGTTTTTAGCTTCAAAAAGTCACATCACATTCACATTTTGTGGTGTGGTGGGGTTCCTTCTTTCTGTCCATTCATCACTTCTAGCCGCCTTGGGTTGCTTTGAGAACTATGTGTTGTGTATTGTGTGATGCTATAGTAAACCTTGCCAAATTGAAATACGCACATTTAATGTGCGTTTTACCCTAACTATGCAGATATAGGCAGTCAAAGGCTTATCCACAAGGGGAAGAAACAACTGGGAAAACACTCATGAATTGACATTATAATTAGCAGAACATAATGGTATTTTCAAACCTTTTTTTCATATCATTCATACTATTAAATATCACACAATTTAACACATTTTCTCTCAATTTTTTCTTTTTCAAAATGAAAAAGAATAAAAATTGTGTACATATCATGATGTACAAATATCATTATCCTCAACCGAAAGACGTTTTGTCTAACATAAGTTCAACATTGATCATATTGACGCATTCAGTTAGCAAATATTATATAATATTATTAGAGTCTGTTTGTTTACTGCTTTTGAGAAAAAAAAAAGTTGTTTTTCAATTAGAAAATATGTCCACAATATTTTAAGGTAATTAGATAAAAAAAATGACATTAGTGATTTTCAAATGATAAAAATAATAAATTTTAAAAAAATAAAATAAATTATACCATAAAATCTTTTTTTTTAATCAAAATGCAGTATTAATGTAAGAGTCTCAGTTTATGTGACATAAAATGATCTTTACAAGTATTGTTTGATCTCTAAAGTAAATTTAATTCAGATCAATTTGCCTCGATTGCAGCTTCTTCTTTTTTTTGTCAATATCATGTATTAGACTTCCTCTAAAAAAAAAAAGCAAGTGGGATCCACTTGCTTATGTCTGCTGCACCCAATAAAATTTTGCAATTACAATAGACACGCAAAGCCCTATATTTATAAATATTTTATTTACAAACTCTTATAAACTACACGATATATTATAAGTAATACATATTTGTAAAAATTTATAAATAAAAAATTTATAAATATAACTCTGCTCAATAAATATTAGTAAGTAATTAAATATGTAGGTTTTAAATAATTTGGAGAGGGTTTTCAAACTTGAATCTTTGTGCTGCTATCTATTAAAAAGAAATCATTCCCACGAAATCCGAACTTGCAAAAGTAGGGATGGAGTTCTATTTTTATTTTTATTTTCAATTCTAACCAGTCACCTTTCACTACTTGCGGAAGAACAGTTTTATCACTATTCTAAGACTCCCTTTACTGCCATTTATTAAAAGAAAAAAAAATTGTATGCATGAGTTTTTAAGCTTATTAATTTTGAACTAGTTGCCGAAAAAAATAATATTCCCGAACTAGATTTACTATTTAATGTAAGATGCTCTATTTCAGTCTTTATTTACTCTCGTGAAATACAGAGTGTATGTTAATTTTCTGTTGTAACAACATCTACATATAACATATTGCGAATTAAAACACAACAAAAAAACTAGTAATAAAAGCAGAAAAAACACAAACACCATTCCCTATAAACTGAGGCCTTGATCAATCAAGATCAATTCATGTAGTGTTGGGCTTTTCTTCCTTAATATTACGTACCAAGGCCCAATGTTGACGAGTGAGGTTTAAGAAAGACAAAATTTTGGGGTTCAAAGTAATCCTAAACTCCACTTTTTTATATTCTAGAACTTTTTCTGCTCCCCTGTATAAGCATTAGTTGAAAGTTGGAGGAGAAGTTAGCTTGAGAGACACTTTGAAACGTTTTTGTGAGACTATTTTGAGAGCACCTCTAGGGAGAAGCTAGAGAGTTAGACCCCCTGAAGAAAGTTTGAGAGAATACCACCATTGTAGGTTAGATTTGAGCATACCACTATTATTGATGAAATTTGATATCTTGTACCCATTATTTTCATAGTGAAAGTTTGATTCTGGATCAGTGTCTTGTAGATTTTTACTTCTTCGCATTAGTGAAAGTTTTTCCATGTTAAAATCTTTTGTGTTCATCTCTCTATCTCTCTCCTTTGTTTATTTCATTTTTCTGCTACCCTAACCAATTTGGTGAGTTCAGGTCGACCTCTTTGATAGCAACCGAGCTCCTAGCTCGACATTTCACTTCCACAAAAGCTTCTTAGCCAAAATTGAAGGACCGAGTTCGTCCCAACATATAGATCCAGAGTTACTGTAAAGAACCTTGGGATACACCACCCCAAAAGCTAGCTCAAAGGGTGAGAGTGTCCAAGACCTTATAAACTCCACATTAGTTACACATACAACCAATGTGGGACTATATATCTCAACACGCCCCCTCACACGAGAGCCCATTGGGCTTGAAGAGTGGAAGATGCAACAGGCTCAGCCTGTGCTAAGAAAGTCCACAAGAGAAAATGGGGGGCGGCGAGGCTCTGATACCATGTAAAGAACCTTGGATACACCACCCCAAAAGCTAGCTCAAAGGGTGGGAGTACCCAAGACCTTATAAACTTCACATTAGTTACACATACAACCAATGTGGGACTTTATATCTCAACAGTTACCATGGAAAAGAGTGTGAACGTAATAAATTAAAATAAATTTTGATACCAAAACATTCATCCATGAAGAGACAAAGGAGTAAACGGTGGGAAAAAGAAATCAAAAGTGGATAAAAGCCTTTGAAACTTTTGCAATATGGACAAAACTACATACATGAACAACATGAAAATCCGGGTTTTCAGGATGCACTAGGCAAAGTCTATAATTTCATGCTTACATTTTAAGATATGAAATAATTCATTTTTATATTTTGAATTATATGTTTTTCGTGGCTTAATTTTTTAAATTTTTTTTAGAGAATGATATAATTCATTCTTAATTTTTTGTTTCAAATTTCAAATTTAAGTTTTTTAGAACTAATTAATAATATTTTTATAATTTTAACTATTTCTCTTTTAGTTAAAATTACTTATATAGATATATTTTTAGTAATTTTCAACTTTTGTTCTTAAATAATTTTTAATTATATTTTAAATTTCATCTAAAAATACTCTTATAGTATATAAGATATTTACTATAGTTAATCATAAAAGATGGTGAATATTCTGGCTTCAATATCAGGCATGACGAAAAATTATGAGTCATTGTGAATATTGGCACACTGTTTCTCGCGAGTGTATATATATATATATATATATATATATATATATATATATATATATATATATATATATATATATATATATAAAATATTTCTACAGCCACTTTAGATAAGCTTATCTACAGCTATCATTTTTAACTATGTTCTCCCAGGAGAACATAGTTATAACATTGAAGTTGTTTTTTTTTCTCTCTCTCCACGTCAGCAGACAGGTTTTGAAAAGTAAATGAGGAGAGAGAAAAAAAAAACAACTTTTAATGTTATAATTATGTTCTCCCGGGAGAACATAGTTATAAAGGGTAGCGGTAGATAAGTTTATCTAAAGTGGCTGCAGAAATGTTTACCCTATATATATATATATATATATAATCATTCCATCTTTTACCAACAGATTCACGGTGTTAATTAGGGAATTATGGATTTAAACGGGAATTGGAAAGTACCTTCATATTTAATTAAGCATATGTATTGTGTGCTGTACTCAGATGGTTTAAGTACTCGAATTATTTTTTAAGTTTTTTTTACCTAAATTCATGTATAAGTGATGTGATCAGTTTATGAAAGGGAATCTATTAAGTGTCTCCAAGTTACTTATTATCTAACAAAAATCTAAAAGAACAAATAGATTGATGGCAAAGAAAGTAATGATATAATGAAAAGTCACAGATTAAAAAAATGCAATGAGAGTAATGGTTATTTGTAAAAAAATAAAATAAAAATGGAATGGATCATAGAGTGTTGGATAGGATAAATTATTGATTTTGTAAAATATGTATAAAATAAGTACAAAATATAAGCATTTAATAAATGTTTCAAAAATTTAACAAAGATGTACCCAAAAAAAATGTAACAAAGATTTAATATTTTTTAAGTAGTTTAAATTAGTAAAAAAATGGTATTTTTATGTCTTCGTTAGTATTTACCTTAAAGTTACACTTTAACAAATTAAATAGACTAATATATCGAGGGTGTCTTAACTAAAATTTGATGACATATGGTCTTAAAATAATGTCTTCACTTTAGAAAATTGTTTTGAAAGCTTAAGGACTTGTTTTGCATATTTGCATGTCAGGTATAAAAAAATAGGATTGCACCGGTTTTAGTCTCATACAATATATACCTAAATTAGTGCTACAGATTGAGAATATTTACATAAGCAATACAATAATGTAAAGCATCTTTTATTCTCTTTTTGTGTATCTGCATAAACAATTAAGTATTGGTAATATTAAAAATAATTTTAATTTTCTTGCTTCAATTGAATCAAATGTCATTGAGTTTAGGCTATACCTAATCGTACCAGCCTGTACTCTAACTCAACGTAATTATCAATTCCATCATCTTCCCTCAATCCTCATGCACGTATTCTAGCCTTTTAGTCAAAATGTGGACCAACCTATAATAATAAGCTCATCTCCTAAAGATCTAAGCTATAATTAAAGGGACTGGGAACTACCATGATTGTCATCTTTGTATTATTTCAAATAATTTTCTTTTCATGACAGGTGTTTGTATATATATACATATTTTTGTTTTTCATCCTAGAAATTAGGTGACGCTATAAATGAAAAGTTAAGACTATATATAAATAGATAAACAAATTACTGTATCAGAAAGTTTTCGAT